ATCCCAAACTGAGGGATTATTTCGGTTAGGATGATGTTAGCCACCATGGTAGCTGGCTTATTTGAGGTGGGGAAGGCTTCTACCCAACCCAAGAATGTGTCTATTAAAACTAGTATGTATGTGAAGATTTTTACTCTGGACATCTTGGTAAAGTCGATTTGCCAATCTGCCCTGGGTATGGCCCCTAGCCTGATGACAAGGGAAGGTTCTTGGTTTTAAAGATGTATTGGGATTCACTCTTTTGCATATCTGGCATGAGGCTATGATTTGCTGTATCACTTCTTTATCCTGGGGAGTCAGAGTAAAGAAAGAGTGGAGAAAGGCTTTGAGAGTCTGCGGACTGGTGTGGAAAATGGAGTGGAGGTAAGTAAAGAGGGAGTGTTTTGGTGGGTCTCCGCTATTGGGTAATGTTGGAGAGCACGTGGCGATGAGAGATCCGGTGGGGTCTGAAAGGGCAGCTGACCTGGCTGCCTGATCTGCTTTTGAATTCCCCTGTGTGATGGGGGAGGAGTCATTTTGGTGTGATCTGCAATGGACAACTCCAAGTTTTTAGGAAGCTGGGAGGCTTGTAGTAGCTGGGTGATGTATGTGGAGTTGGTTATAGAGGTTCCCTTTGAGTTCAGGAGACCTCTCTCCTTCCAAATTGCTGTATGAGATAAGAGAATGTGGAAAACATTTGGAATCAGTATAAAATGTAAGATTTTTCCCCACTGCCAATTCACAGGCTCGAGTTGCAGCTACCAGCTCAGCCTGTTGGTTGGTGGTATTTGCAGGCAGGGGATTGGCTTCTATTACTCATGATAGGGACACTATGGCATATCCAGCTTTTCTGATCCCCTCATGCATAAAGGAGCTGCCATTAGTGAACCAGGTGTAATCAGATTGGTCTAGAGGTCCCTCAGTGATATTAGTTGGGCATGGGAGGAAGTTTTCTAGAATTTCCCTGCACTTATGTGTTGGGGACTGTGTTTGACCTTGAGCCTGAATGGGTAACAGAGTTGCCAGGTTGAGAGGGGCGCAGGTTTGGAAGGTCACAGAAGAGTCTAGAGGAAAGAGACCAAGAGAGAAAGAATTCGACAGGGAGGGAGGGTTTGCAGTCCTTTATGTGTTAGCAAGTCCTTGAGGTGATGAGGAGAGGTGACAGTGATTTGAGCTCCAAAGGTAAGCTTTTGCGATTCTTTTAATAAAACATAGGAGGCCGCTAGGGCGCGGAGACAAGGAGCCCATCCCCAGACAGTTGGATCTAAGTGTATTGAGAGGTATGCCACTGGAGCGAAGGTGGGCCCATACATTTGTCCCAGCACCCCCAAGCCTTACCCTTTGTTTTCATGGACATAGAGAGTAAAAGGCCTATTAACATCTGGCAGGTGTAGRGCCAGTGCTTGTAAGAGGGCCTTCTGGAGGGTTCTGAAATGTGGTGCAGCTGAAAGTAACAAGGGCTCATGCTTGTTCCCCTTTGCTAGATCATAGTAAGGTTTGGCAAGTAATGAGTAATTTGGTACCCATGCCCTAAAATAGCCTGCCAGACCCAGGAACGAGAGAATCTCCTCCTTAGTTTTTGGTACTGAAAGGCTTTCAATAAGGCCTTTTCTATCGGTTGTGATAGCTTTCTTCCCTTGGGAAATGTGGAACCCTAAGTAAACAACCTCAGAGAGAGAGAGAACTGCACCTTTTGTGGAGAAACCCTATATCCTCGGTGAGCAAGAAAATTCAGGAGGGTGGCTGTGTCAGACTTTGAGGTTTCTAATGAGGGACTACAGAGGAGGAGGTCATCAACATATTGTAGGAGGGTTGAGTCTGGGCATAGAGGGAAAAAAATCCTCAAGATCTCCAGCGAGAACTTGTCCAAAAATATGCGGGCTGTCTTGAAACCCCTGAGGCAGGACAGTCCAGGTTAACTGTTGGGAATGTCTAGTTTCTGGATCAGTCCAGGTGAAAGTAAATATGTCTTGGGAAGAGATGGATAGTGGAATTGAAAAGAAGTCATCTTTAAGATCAGTAACTGAAAAACAGGTGGAGTTTGCAGGAATGAAGGAAAGGACAGTATAAGGGTTTGGAACCAGGGAATGTATGGGCCTGGTTGAAGAATTTATTAACCTTAAGTCCTGCACCAAACGGTGTGTTCCATTAGGCTTTTTTACTGCTAAAATTGGGGTATTGAATGGAGAGTTTGTGGGATGGAGGAACCCCTTTCTTATTAAGCTCTGAATGATTGGCTTTAGGCCCTTAAGACTGGCAGTTGGCAGCAGGTACTGAGCCTGGTTTGGGAAGTGTTTAGGGTCTTTAAGATGCACTTCCACGGGAGAGCAATTTGCAGAGGATGGGGTTTCAGTGTCCCATACAATTGGACCTACTATTTTACAGGGGAGGAGAAATATGTGTTCTGGTGGTCGTTGGGGTCTCCACATAAAGAGGTAAAGTCTCTTCTTCGTCAGGGAGTAAAGCCATGGTGGAGATATGAATAGGGGAGGACAATAAGCATACAGTTATGGAGGCCTTCAAGATGGATAATATATCCCTTCCCAACAAGGGGACCGGACACTGAGGCATAACCAAAAAATGGTGTGATACAGCAGTCAACCAATAAGGAATCTCCACACTTAATGGCTCGCTGGCATTACTTCACAAACCACTCCCTCTGGCAAAATGCTAGGCGCCATCTTGACTTGTTTACAGACTCTAACACTTATAGCTGTATCTTATATATGCAAATAAAACAATAACATATATATATATATATATATATAAAACAGATATAGATATGTATTATATATCACATATACATATATATTTATATCTGATGCTAATTATTTCTTATAAGCATTAATAAGTGTTTAAGTCCTTTTAAGGATGCTCTTTCTTTTAAACTCTATATGTGTCTCTGAAAAAAAATGATAATGACTCTATGTCAAAACATTGATGTCTTTAAGCTAGACTCATCTCTTGAGTACAGTGCACTACAAACACTGTGAGAATGAGAGAGAGTTGAAACTGGGCCTCAACTGGCATGTGATTACTTGATTATCAGCTGGGCATAGGGAACTTAGGTTTCATGCTAGAGAGGTCTAAAATGACAGATGAGACAAAGCAGTGCAAATTTAGATTGTGTAGGGATATTGAAAATATGACAATAGAAGTATTGCCTATTCATTCTGCACCTTCAGGAAGCTAAAGAGTTTGGATAAACTGCAGTTGACACTTTAGGAGACGAAGGAGCATGATGTGAATATCCTAGCAATTCTTCTTATAAAAATTATTACAAAAATAATTTCTTTTATAAAAATACATTGGGATTGCAAATTGGTGCAACTATTTGGAAAGCAGTATGGAGATTCCTCGGAAAACTTAGAATAGAAGCATATTTGACCCAGCTACCCACTTCTTGGTTTATACCCAAAGGACTTAAAAAAGCATACTACAGAGACACAGCCACATCAGTGTTTATAGCAGCACAATTCACAATGGTTAAAGTGTGGAACCAAGCTAGATGCCCTTCAGTAGGTGAATGGATAAAGAAAATATGGTACATATACACAATGGGATATTACTCAGCATTAAAAGAGAATAAAATCATGATATTTGCAGGTAAATGGATAGAGTTGGAGAATATCATACCAGTGAAGTAAGACAATCCCCCCAAAACAAATGTCAAATGTTTTCACTGATATGAGGGTGCTGATCCATATGGGGACAGGATGAAAAAAAAATGGTGTGAAAAGGAGGACTCAGATAAGGAGCAAGTGAGGGGAGGAGTTTGACCTCCTATCCCGACAATAGGAGATTTGGAGGGATAGGTATTTCTCCAAAACTCTCTCAGAACCAAGAATGTGGCCCCGGTGTCTACCAAAAAGTTTATGGGACACCCATCCACTCAGATAACCACCTGGGTTCCTGCTTGGTGATTGAATAGGTCAGGACAGAAGACCCAGGGCCCTGTCAATCCTCGGCTGCTAGGCCCAGCAAGTCACTGGCCGGGTGACTGACCTCAGCTCCCCTCCAGGAATTGGGGCAGTCTGATCCCCAGTGGCCAGGACGTCGGCATCTGGGGCACGTCTGGGTGGTGCCCTGGGGTTCGGGCAAGCCCTAGCCCAATGTCCTTCATTACCACACTTAAAGCAGGGCCCAGGGGGTCCTCATTGTGGGGGTTGTTGTCTCCCCCTTTCCATAGGTTGGAAGGAGCCCTGTAACACCTGGGCCAACATCTGGCATTTTTGGTGTTTTGCTCTTTCATTTCTATTGTGGTAGACCTTGAAGGCCATGACCAACACCTCGGTCTGAGGAGTCAAGGGTCCCCTCTCTAATTTTTTTAGCTTTGCCCGGATGTCAGAGTAGCTTTGTGAGGAAAAATAGGTCATAAGAAGTTGCCTCCCATCTGGGGATTCAGGGTCCAAATTAGTGTATTGAACGAGAGCCTTTGTTAGTCAGTCTAGGAAGGCTGAGGGGTTTTCATTCTCCTCCTGGATGACTTCCTGGAGTTTATCAAAGTTAATAGCCTTTTGTGCTGCCGCCTTTAGGCCAGCTATCAGACAGGTAATAAGGTGGTCCCTGTGTCCCAGGTCTTGGGGGTCATTATAATCCCAACGGAGGTCTTGGTCTGGAACTGCCTGGGCCCCTAAGGGATGGTGGGCATTAGTCTGATGAACCTGGTCTGCATAGGCCCTAGCCTGGTCCCAGACCCTACTCCCTTCCTCAGGGAGAAGAGTATTGGACAGAATCATATAGAGATCATGAAAGGTGAGGCTGTAGGCTTGAGTTAAGTATTGAAACTCTTTAATATAAGAGACAGAGTTTGCAGTGTAAGATCCCAATTTTTTTTCTACTTGAGAAAGGACAAGCATAGAAAAAGGAACATAAACCCTTAAAATCCTGTCCGGCCTGGCGACCTGGCATCAGATCTGCTGGCATCTTGACCTTGCATTTGCCAGCCTCCAAAATGTGAAGATGAGGCTTGTTGTTTAATCCACCAGTGTATAGTGATTTGTTATAGCAGCCTGAACTAAGATGCTTACAAATTGAAGTCTATTTTAAAAATTATTTTGATAATGAGTTCAATATTTTTTATTTGACTTACAATGATTTCAGAAGAGATTAGGAAAGAAATTAATTAAAGAACTAGATCCTTGGGAACAATGATTTTACAAGGCTCATTTTCATTAATGTCATTCCTAGGAGAGAGATGATCACTGAGTTTTCTTCACAACCAGGTTCACCATGGGCAAGAAGGTCCTGCCTTCCCCACAAGGAGATCCTGCAGTCACAGGCTCCATCCTCCATCAATGATGACAGGATTGCCTGTCACATAGGCTGACTGCAGTAATAAACATAAAGAGACACAACAGTTAAACAAGTGTAACACAGGCTTGGAAATTTTTTTCTATGACTGCGAACAGTTGATTCTCATGCTAATAGAAAACCTTACTTACAATTTGAATTTAGGAAAATTGAAATTAAAGTTTGAATGATTTAGAACTGCTGACCTGTGAACTGGAGCTAAATGGCCCCTGTCCAGTATCCAAGAAGATGCTACATCTTAAACAGGATTAGTTGGGTATATGGTTTCAGAATCACAAAGTTAAGTAGTGGTGATATACAGCCATTCCCCAAACCAGGATAAAGCGTAGGTTAAAATACCACATATTCATTCTAATACTCAGAACTATTCAAAACTGGCTTAGTTTTGACTACTAATAGACTTTTCAACGTAAGTGTGTCAGTCATAAAGGGTTCATGTCAATGAATGTCTGTTTTTTAACAGATAATGTATATTTAGTTAACAAAGGATTTTAAAATATAATTTCTGGTTTACGATCACACAATTTTTCACTTTCCAAAGAACTAAAGCTGGAGTGATCCTTGTGGTAGAAGTTCTCCTCCTCCTTTTTTTTCAATACTGTGGATTGAACTCAGGTGTGCTCTACCACTGAGCTATGTCCCCAGCCTTTTTATTTTTATTTTAAGACCAGATCTTGCTTAGTTCCTAAGGCTGCCTTTAAACTAACAATCCTCCTGCCTCAACCTCCCAAGTTGAAAACTAAAAATCTTTTTAACTTAAAATGGATAAGTAAGTCTCCAAGTTGTGTTCTTAGTTTTAAATCAATCTAAATAAATGAAAGAGGTTCTAGAAAGACATTATACTATGAGTATGGAAATTTTAAAAGTTCGATATATGAAAACTGATACCATAAATCAGAAAAACTTGGGGGTTATTAGTCACATTACTAAAGAAATGATCCCTAAGTTGCTTCAAAAAGCAAACTCTAGCAGGGCACGGTGGTACATGCCAGTAATCCCAGGGGCTCAGAGGTTAAGGCAGGAGGATCAAGAGTTCAAAGCCAGTTTCACAATTTAGCAAGGCCCTAAACAACTCAGCAAGATCTTGTCTCTAAATAAAATATAAAAAAAGATTGGGAATGTGGCTCAGTGGTTAAGTTTCCCTAGGTTCAATCCCTGGTACCAAAAAAGAAAAAAGCAAACTCTAATATGAATTGCTTCTAGCTCCTCAACCAAAACAAAGCCATTTTTGTTACACATATTAAGAATATTTGATATTTGGCAACATAAGGATAATATGACTTATCATCAGCAGTATTTTTAAAGCAAATGAGCTCTTCTGAAGATATGGAGTCAGAGGAATCACACAGGCTAATGTGCTTGCTCCCCTAATAATCTGCCTAGCCCTTTCTCTGGCCATTAACAAGGTTTGCTAACAGGTCTGAGAAGTGGTGGCTCCTCTGTCACTAAAACATTTCAATCCTGTATTGGTCACATTCACCAGCCATCTGGTGTACACCATTTTACTGTAAAGAGGAGCTAACTGAAGGGTAAGACACCTCCTTAGTCCCACCCCAACCCCGTCCTCCTCTCTTCCCATTCATCCCAGATCCCTGTTTATGTAATATTCAAAGACATAAAACAAAAGAGGATGTTCTTGTGCTCTATACCTTATAATGTAGTTTTTGTTTTCTCAGCTGTATGTCATTTAAAAATACACACTAGGCATTAAGGATGAAATTGGTTACTAAACAGATGCACAGTAGGAGAGAATTAAGAATTTTCATACACAAAGAAAACTAAGTAATAGGAAAAAAATAGCCAGTAGAATTCTCCCTAACAAATCACCAGTAAAACTAAAAACACCACATATGAATCCTGACTCCCCTGAACACAACTAAATCTGATGAACCCTTAACACTCTTCCCAGTTCTTCAGAGGCTCTTGCAACCCTAGAAGTTCCCCTGACTTATATTTAATCAGGATGTCCCCAATTGTAAGTTTTCCTGTGCTCGGGACGAAACCCAGGGCCTTGTTTGTACTAGGCAAATACTCTAACCAACTACTGACTTATGTCCACAGTCACTATCACCCCTGGTTTAAAAATTTTATTTTGGGACAGAGTCTAAGTTATTGAGGCTGGCCTCAAATTTGCAGTCTTCCTGCCTCTTGAGGAAGCTGGGATTACAGGCATGTACCACCACATCTGACAAATTATCATTTTTGAAAGAAATCCTCCATTTCTTTTGCTATATGATTTTGAGACATTAAGGTTGAATAAGGGAGCCAAGTGTGCTGGTGCATGCCTACAATCCCAGCTACTCAAGAGGCTGAGGCAGGATGGTTACAAGTTTGAGGTCAGCCTTAGTAATTGAGCAAGTCGCTGTCTCAAAATTAAAAAAAAAAATTATATATATATATATATATATATATATATATATATGGGTGCAGATGTAGTCTCAATAGTAGAGTGTCCCTGGGTTGAATCCCCAGCACCATACACACACAAACACACAGAAGTGGAATGAGGGAATCACTGGCTCTGATCAAATGGCCTTTCCTTAAGTAGACTAAATCAGAACATGCCCCTATCTCGTAAACACAGCACCTCAGCATACATGTGCCAACCTGAACGACTTTAGGTTGATGAGAAAATAGTAGTCAAATGTGATGGAGGGTAATGAGCTTTCTGGGAAGAGGAATGCTTACTTCATCAGAAGCCAGATACACACAGAGCAGGGCTACTTCTTCCGCAGTTGCAAATCTTCCTGTCTTTTGTCTCTTTAGGAAGTCATTCAGTGCCTGGGATCAGAGACCATTCCAGACATCAGTGATGCTGGCTGACATGTGTGCACACCTGCAACTTCTTTAAGGTGTGAAAAGCAAGGAAATCTACAAAGGAACTATGGGTTTGCCACCTTGAAGAACCATCAGCTGGGGTTATGGTGATTCTTTCACCCAAGGTGCTCAAACTATCCATGATACAATGACACCCACAGATACTGTGACACATCAGAAAGCTGATATGAAAGAAGAATTTTTTTTTAATTTTATGGTAAAACATGTAACATGAAATTTACAATTTAACTATTTTAAGTACACGATTCTGTAGTGTTAAAGACATTCCAATTGTCTTACCACCTTCTAATCTCCAGAATGCTTTCCATCTTACTAAAATGAAACTCCATACTTACAAAGTAGTAACTTTTCATTCCCCTCTGCCCTGGCCCCTGGTAACCATTTTCTTTCTCTATGAATTTGTCTACTCTGGGTAAGGAAGAGGACATTTTTTTTAACCAAAATGTTTAAACATATTTAAAATTCTAGTAATACCTCTTCAGGATTTTCTCTGGCTTGTATTCTTTCTTGCAGAGATGGGGTATCAACGGTTCCTAAATCACAGGATGACATTCAGTTTGGTTACTTCTTTAAACCAAAAAAGTTGATAATTAAACTTCAAACTTCCTTTCCATATAATACAATTAGTGACACCCTTCTCCTTTGACTTAAAATGACAATTTCTCCTTGGCTGCCTGATCTCTTGACATGTAACTTCTTTAATAACATTACTATGATTTTTCTCAAACAGACTATGATTATTTGTAACAACCACAATGAGATGTAAATAAAATCATCCAAGCATTTTATCATCCAGTTTGCCTTAATGATCTCAAAAACATTCTTTGCTGATAAGTTTTCTGGAGGGATCCTTAGAACTCCAACACTGCCATCATTCTTGGTGATTTAGGTGGCTATAAATCTTCCTTAAAATTTTGCCTATTTTCATTGATTCTAAATTCCTGTTTTTAACCACTGTTTTAAATTTTTAATAAAAATTATGATTTGAAATGGTTTTACTTTGAAAAAGAAAAATAAGCTAGGCATGGTAGCATGTGTTCCTGTAATCCCAACAGCTCAGGAGACTGAGGCAGGAGGATTGCAAGTTCAAAGTCAACCTCTGCAATTTAGTGAGGCCCTAAGCAACTTAGTGAAACCTTGTCTCAAAATAAAAAGGACTGGGGATGTGGCTCAGTGTTTAAGCACCCTTGGGTTCAATCCTCAGCACCAAAAAAGAAAAGAAAAATAAGAATGAAACTAAAATTTCAAAGTCCACGTAGTTCATGTGTTTCTACAGCAAGCTCTCCAGACTTCTTATTTATTTATTTATTTATTTTTAGGTGTAGATGGACAATGCCTTTATTTTTATGTGGTGCTGAGGATCGAACCCGGGTCCTGCCCGTGCTAGCGAGCGCGCTACCGCTGAGCCACACTCCCAGCCCAAGACTTCTTTGTTAACTCATATAATCTGTAGTTTCTCTTTAGAGGACTTTTTTTTTTTTTTTTTTTTTGACTGTACAGTCCAGTACTCTGGGGAACCATGTGATCTTTTGAGGTTGTAACAAATGTAACAAATGCTTTTACAGTCATACCCTCAGCTTCATCTTTAGAATATGCTCCTGAGAATGCCATAGATCTGATCTTTGCTCTGAAACCATTAATTAAGTTGGGCATGGTTGCATACAGCTGTAATCCTAACCACTACCACTCAGGAGGCTGAGGCAGGAGGATTGCAAGTTCAAGGCCAGCCTCAGCAACTTAGCAAGGCCCTATGCAACTTGACAAGACTTTGTTTAAAAATAAAATTATAATAATTATTTTAAAAAGAGAGCTGGAGATCCTTGGGTTCAATCCCTGGGAGAAAAAAAACAAACAAACAAACAAAAAAAAGAAACCATTTCTTAGTTGTGGTATCATATTTCCATTTTTAATGGAGAGGCTGAGAATCTTCAAAATCAGAAACCCTGACACCTACATGTCAGGTGAGCCCTTTCTTCAGGTTCTTTCTCTCTTCTTACACTTTGTCATAAGCAGACAGCACTTTCAACACGCTGGGTGGAAACTGCCTTAGCTAGATCACCCAGTTCATTAGAAATATGTTCTACCTTCACATTACTGCAGGAACTGAGGTCCGCTTTTGCCCACTTTCCAATGTTTCCCCCCTTGTCAACAGCTTCCTTAATGTCCAAAGTTTTACTATCAGGGGGTACCTTCACTTCCACACTCTCCTCAAAACCCTCAGAGCTTTCAGAGCTTCCTGTCACTGAGGTGGGTGAGCATGGCATCCTACAGGGCTGGTGCTGATGGCGATTAAATGAAAACTGTAGAGCAAGCCAATGCCTGCACATGAATTCAGCTGTCACTGGACTCTGCTGGGTCCATGACACAGACRGACAGACACCCTGTCTACGCATATCTGGTCGGAGATTCGTGACTCACATCATCAGCACCATCCCAGTCACACTCGTTCCTGCTCAGGTTTCTTCTGTGTCTCTGTGAATCACAGACCGTTCCTTGTTCCATAGACTTTGGGAACATTTTTTCCAATCTTATGAAAAATCCAGCTGCTGAAATAACCACATTTTCCAAACCATTTTGCCATTTTTTTCCCTCCACTGGGTAAACAGTACCAAGAATAGCTTACATTCAAGTATCACCAACGTGTACATCAAAACCCAGAGAAACCCTCTCTCCTGTTTTATTCTTTTTCTTAGTGTTATCTATCTTTACATTTCTACTCCAAGAAAAATAAAGCAGCATATCTCAATCACTGAAAATCGGTAGCTGGAAGGATATTTCATAGTTTTCCCTCCTGTAAGTGGTTTTTATCTCAAGATTCAAGCAGAATCTCTTGTGGGACTTTCCAAAAGTCAGGCAGTTCTCCCCCACATCAACTCYGTCCCCAAATTCTGGCATGCCATGCCCTTCAGTTTGGAAAGGTCCCACAGGTATTTTAAAAATAGTCCTCCCAAATCCTCTGACGTCAGCAGACAACTTCTGAAAACTATGATCTTGCGTAGGCAGTGTTTCTTTTTGGAGGACATTAATAATCATTGGGTACCCTCTATTCATTTTGGTTGGTGGAACTAGGTCAAAGCAATATCTATCAAACAGACACATCCACAGTTACTGAAAGTCTCACTTTTCTTCTTCCTTTGTATGAAGGGCCAGAACACTTTTTTTTTTTTTTTTTTGATAGAGATAGCAAACATTTTTGGCTTTGAGATCCATTTGGTCTTTGCCTTTGCAGCCTGAAAACATAGCAAATTGACTGTGAGTGTGTTCCAATAAAACTTTAAAACCAAACAGGTGGTATCCAGAGTTGGCCTGCAGACCTTAGTTTGCAGGCCCCTTTCTATTGCATAAAGAAGGGTTAAAGTCTCCTTTTGATTTCTGAGTCACCTCATGATTCGGATAGATCCCTATGTTGTGCCAGGCTCCCTTTGCTTTCTCCCTTCTGTCTTATAAACATGGTCACCCTGGTCTGATTCCCAAACATCAGGCCCTAACAAGTTTTGTCTTAGGCACTTGATTGCAAATTGCCCTGCACATGTGGGTGGCTTTTAAATCCTTTGTACCTGTGACTCATTCCTAATGACTAAGGATCTCTTTCCCAACTTACAACTGGAAGACTCTTACCTTAGGAAGACCAGAATCTTTCTTTTGAACTTTTCCCAATGACAGAATACAATGTAACATTTGGTAAATGAACTTACGCAAAACGTCTCTCACGGTGGCAAACAGGATATCAGAAAGGACACATTCATAGCCCTGAAACTGCCGGACTCACCTGGGCACACACAGTTGCACCTGATACCCTGCTGGATGAAGTCTGCAGCCACGGACTTTGTAAGGCCAATCACGGCTGCCTTGGTGGTGCTGTACACACACCTGTTCACCACTCCTGAGGGGCAAGGCAAAGAGGGACAACTGAAGGAATGTCTCTTTTAGAGAGGAAACACAAGGTAGTTTTCTCAATAGTATTTTCCTGCTTCCTCCCACCTCCTTAAAAAAAAAAAAAAAAAGAAATCAGGTTTTCTCCCTTAATAGGCCAGTTGCTGCATCTAGGAAAATAATTTTAGTATAGGCACAATTTAACTGAGACCCAGGTGTTGAGATGCTGCAGTTACTTAATAACCAACAGCAGTCTGCTTCTGTTGTCCATTGGTATAACTCTTAAGCAGATTCTAAAAGAAAAAAAAAAAAGTGGAGGAGAAACAAAACCAAACAAAAACCAAGCAATATACACAAGTGTAGGCACTTCTTTACACTCCTCTCTTGAGCATGCTGAGAGTGTGTGTCCTTCAGAAGAAAAGGAACATTACCTCAGCAGTAGCTGTTTCATTTAAAACTCAAATCCACCTGAGCCAGGCTGTGACATTGTCTCCATTTTCCTCTGCCATCCTATTCCTTCCACTTGGCTTCTCATTCAGAAGCCAAGTCAACTGTCTTTGGGAAGCATTCCTCTAACCCATGGGCAGAGTCCCCTCCCCTATAATGTGAGGGCACTTTGCACAAACCTCTTGTTAGAACACTCTCACACTGTAGGGTGGTGTTTGCCTGCCTTTCTCCTCCTTTTGGACTATGAATTTGGGGAGGCAGGTGCTCCCTCTATCATTCTATCATCTTTTGTGATTTTTTGTTTGTTTGTTTTTACTTTTTCTGAGGAATAGAAGTTGATGTTAATGTTTATAACTGCACTTTACCATTTTGCAGAGTAATTTCAGGTACATGGATCTTTCCTTTCTTCTCCCTTTTCTTCATTTTCTTTCTTTCTTTTTTTTTTTAGACAGGGTCTCACTATGCTGTCCAAATTATGCTCAAACTCAGGAGCCTCCTACATCAGCATCCCAGGTAGCTGGGATTGTAGGTTGTACCATTGTGCCCAACTCAGTATATCATTTTGGATTAATTAACTGATAAATGTTTCCTTCCCCAGGTCAACATTCATCTCCATGTCCATTAGAAAAAATAAAAGGGAAGTGTTAGGGCTGGCCCAAAAATGGCTGTAGTAAGGCTCCCTCGCCAAAACTTCTGATGGGCTATATTCTTCTTCTTCTTCTTCTTCTTCTTATTATTATTATTATTATTATTAATTTTTTTTCTTTTTTTTAAATATTTTTTTAGTTGCAGATTTTTTAGTTGTTTATATTTAATATTGTGCCAGGGATAGAACCCAGTACCTCATGCATGCTAGGCAAGCCCTCTGCCACTGAGCCACAACCCCAGGCCCTATGTTATGTTCTTAGTGTGTAGCCAGGGCTGGGAACTGACTATGTAAGGGTTAGTCAAGGCCAGAAACACTGTGACTCAGTGTATAGACTCAAGGTCACACACATTAACTTGTGAGTATGCACCACTACCCCCCCTGTCCCCTGTTGGCAGTGTGCCTTATTTGTTTGGCCTGCATATAAAAGGGGCCTATGGAAATGGGCTGGGGTGGGGGCGAAAATGGAACTGGGGGCTGAAGCTGAAGATGGGGGCTGGCTAATGGCTATGGCCGCCTCTGTATAAAGGTTGACCAATATGCCTCACATCTTCTTCTACCTGCTGAACCCTGAATCTGTTCCCTGGGACAGAACCCCTGCAGGACAGGAAGACAAAGAAGATATTTTTATTTAATTTTGTCTATAACAATAGGTCTGATGGTCAAGGAATGTATTACCAACATTTTTAAAAAGCAGTTTTGAAATGATATATGGGTTTTATGACCTCAGCTATGTGTACTCCCAAACCCACAGCTCATAAATGTGTGCGTGTGAGCATCATGAACTCCAGAGGAAGGAAGGCACTCCTACCTTTGATGCTGGAGGCCACAGAGGACATGTTGATRATGTTGCCAGATTTCTGAGCAAGCATCTGCCAAAACAAAACAACTGTGAACGGGGAGATACTCTGTAAGCTCAAAATACTCTGGCTTTAAAATGCTTTAATTTACTTACGGTTTGCGGAACCAATTTAACCGTGGCATTAACTATTTGTGTTAGAAACTGTTAACAGTAAACCCACAACACCCGGCCCACCCATCTGCTGCTGGGAACTGGTGGCCTGTGACACATTCACTGACATCTCTGAGGAGCCTTACCACCTTCCCATAGTGCATGACCAAGGATGAACTCCGAGCCAAATGGAACACGAATGGAAGCCAGTCATTACRGTGTGTTCCTGATGTTAGGACATTATCATTCCATTCAACACACACACATGCACACACACACACATCTTTTGTGTTGTGGAACTGGGCATTGAGCCAGGGGAGCTCTATCACTGAACTATACCCCAGAAATTTTTATTTTGAGAGAGTTGCACTGAGTTTCCCAAGATGGCCTTGAATGTCCTGCCCCAGCCTCCTGAGTTGCTGGGATTACAGGTATGTGTCACTGTGACTAGCCCAACACCTATTTGTTGAATACTAACTGTTCGGGTGATTCAGAGATAAATGACACAGCCCTGTCTATAGGGAGCAGTCGATCAGCCAGCCAGCCTGGTGTGGCTGACATAATCAAAGTCTAATGACAGTGAAGAACTCCAGAGATCTAAGGGAAGGGTGGGTGCAGGAGGCACCAATCCAGGCTGCTGGTGGGGGGGTGGGCACTTGGAGGGGAGCTCCTGAGTGGRAGGTATAAGGACAGAATTCCAAAAACTAAAGTATTAGAAAAATAAAAGAGTGTTTCAAGGGAAGGGTATCACATGTACAAACCGGGAGGAGTGGATGGGCCTGGCTGGAACAGAGTGTATTGAAAGAATGAGGGTRCAGAGTTCATCAGGGGCTAAACCAAAGAACCTGAGTCAGTGACATGGAAGGGTTTAAAGCAGAGGAGGAGAGGCCGATTCAGATTTAGGATTACAAAGACTACTACGGCAGCATTCAGAGACCCGTGAAAGCTGATGTAGTGATTGAGGAAAAGATGGTAAAAGTGGAGTATCAGAAATGTCCAAGGAGCAGAGGTAGCAATCACCAGCTGGGTAGGCAGGACTTGATATGTAGTTACTGCAGTGAAGTGAGTCCCACTCAGGACAGTGTTTCCTAAGGATGCCTCCCTCAGGCTTTCCCCACTAAAATGTAAATTCAACAAGAGGAGGGGCTTTGGCTATTTTGTGCCCTTAGAAAGGTTACACAGTAGACCATCCATAAAATTTGATGAATCAAAATTTCCTCAGGTGCTAGATTAAAAGACAGATTGCTGGGTCCTGTCCCAAACCTAACAGAATCTATAATACACACAGCTGCTATGAATTACAAAAAGGTTTTCAAATGAACGTATGCTTTGTTAGCCATAACATGAATGTTTTTTGAGATTCTAGGAATATGTGTGAGGACATGGGCACCGTGGCTGCTTTGGGGAAAGAAGCAGGAAGCTGAAAGAACTCTTGGCACTAAATTCCCAGTGAAATCAAAYGGCAAGGCAGATGGCCAACAAGAATCAGATGGACATCACTACCCTAAGTACGTGTCTGACGACACAAATGGTGTGACTCTACTTTGTGTACAACCAGAGATACAAAAAACTGTGCTCCATTTGTGTACTATGAACTGAAATGCATTCTGCTGTCGTGTATAACAAACTAGAACAAATGAAAAAAAAAAAAAAAAAGAACAAGGCAGAGATGGTGGAGAGTAAGAGAGCAGCAAAATGTTTGTTCTGCACTACCCCCACATCACTGCTGGGGGTAGTGCAGAACAAAGTAGAGAACTGAAGGAAACCCAGCAGGGTGGTCATATCATGAAAATAAAGTAAAGAAAGGGTTTTTAAAAGGAGGGGTCTTTATACACGATGCAAAGGATCTAGAGAAAAAAAAATCACTTCTGTCAAGGTGAGTTTCTTTAGCAGTTTTCAGGAAAAAAAGAGGTGTAGGAAAGGGGAAGGCATGTGATAGACAAATCCAGGGTTAGGCTGGCCAAGATGACAGGGTTCTTTATTGTACTTTTTCTACTTCTGGTTTTTGTTTGTTTGTTTTGTTTGTAACTGAGGATTGAACCCAGGGGTGCTGAGCCACTGAGCCACATCCCCAGCCCTTTTTATTTTTTATTTTGAGATAGGGTCTCCCYAAATTGCTTAGGGCTAAGTTGCTAAGGCTGACCTCAAACTTGTGATCCTCCTGCCTCAGGCTCCTGAGTCACTAGGACTACTTTCTGTTTTAACACTTAGCTACTAATTGTACCTAAGAATTGACAATCTAAAATAGCCCCAAGGCATTGTGTGAATGTACTAAAGGGACACCCAGGGAAGCTGTGGTGACCCAACCATGTCAAGGAAGACAGCTAGGAAAAACTAACATTTTGTGTTTCCTTATATGATAAAGGGGGTCATCATGAATTGGGGTTCTCTTAAAGGGATCAGGAATGTTAGTAATGCTTACTGGTATAAACTATCTTACTGGTATATAAACTAAGCCTTAAAGTTGCTCTTTCTCATTCAATTTAGTAACTAATCTATTTATAATACACTGAGAATATATTCAAGCTATTTTATTATATAAAGAAGGCTATTTGTAGGCTCAGTCTCCAGTCTTCTGAAATGCAGTAATTCTTTGGGCAAAACTTAGAAAACAGTCACCTTGGAGGCATTCGTCCTGCCCACYAACACTCATACTATCCATTCCACCCAGGTCCATCAGCCAATTTTGAAGACATTGCTCACTTCTTCTAGGCTATACTCCTTCCCCAATACCAGCTCAGGCCAGGCCCAAATTTTTGCCCTAATGGATCTTCTCCTCTGGTAGAACTTGCATTCTGCATGGACCTCTTCTTACAGTATGTGCACCTTGTGCTCTGTTTTTTGACTGATCTTTCAATCTTGCAGTGTTCTTTCTTTCTTTCTTTCTTTTTTTTTTGTATCTCCACATAAACAAAATTATTCTGCAACTGTTTCTGTGTTTTGACAACCGGATCTTTCCATTCTGCCCAGGCTCGAAATCCTGGCTTCCTCTGGAAAGTTCCAACTGGTATATGTGTGTCATAGTTTATGACAGGGAAGATCCTACATGGTTAGGGCTGGAAGTGATTGCACAATTTCTGGCCCTCACTTTTAGATAGAAGAAATAAATACCGAGAAAGAGAGCATGTGTCATCTCCCAAGGCACCTGGCTGATTTGAGACAGAATTGAGACTGTGCTTGGGGACTTCTGATGCAAGTGTTTGAAACTGGTAATTAAGTTAGTCTGAGTCACTTTTAACAACTTGCACTGAATCCTTCTGATTTTACATCCCAATTATAATGACCTCTCAAAGTTTTTTTTAAATAAATGTGTGTTATTGCCTCTTATAGATCATTGTTAAGATTAAAGTTGAGTATGTAAAAATGTAGGGATGCAGCTCAGTGTTGGAGTACTTGCCTAGCAAGTGTGAGAACCTGAGTTCAAACCTTAATACCTGGGGAGGGAAAAACCCAGAGCTTTAAATCATAGACAAGTTTATTAATTTACAAGTTGACCTTGGTATATTTAGAAAGTTRACCTACATGTTTAAATTTCAGCTTCACTATACTCAACACCTATTTGTGAGCACTTTAGCAGTGGGCTCTGTTTTACCAGTGAGTCTCATACATGTCTTACCCACTGGGATGTAATTTCCCCCTTACCATGGGCTCTGCTTCATCCTCATATACTGTGCAAAGGATCTGTCTTCCAAAAATACATGAAAGTTCCAAATAATATTTTATTTATATATATGTATATATAAAATATAATAATATAAACTAGCAGATTTATATTTTCATTCATTCCCTGGGCACACCTAAGATCCCTTATAGGAACTAAACAGATAAAACAAACAAAAAAACCCAAACATCTCCTTCATTATCAAGTTAGTTTCCTTAATCTTGCTGCTAATGTTCACCTGGATCTTTCTTGACATCTGGTTGACTCTTAGAGCAAAGTATCGGCTTTGCTGCGCCCTTAACACAGCTCTTCTCCAGTCCTGGGTTGACTGGCATTCAAAACCCCCAGTCATCCAATTCAGCTGGGATAGGAGGGTCACAGTGTCCCCTCTGCATTTCACCAGGGTTCACTTTACAAACTTGAGCTGAGCCAGTTCTGTACTCAGTCTCTTTCATTGTCTGCTATTAATGGCTTATGAGCTCATTCAAAGTCAGGGCTGCAATGCATCCTACATTTATACCCCCAGAGAACCTAGTAGAATACTTCATACTGAAAAGGGTTTTTGTTTGTTTGTTTTCAATTTATACTGGGCAATGAGTATTCCTTTACTGTTGCTATTGTTTTTGTTTTAATTACCTGCCCAGCTAACTTGTGTAGCAATCAAGTCCACTGTATTTTCAGTCCTTTTACAAGACTTAAATACTAACACTCTTACCAGGAAAGTATTTACACAAAGGAGCAAGGTTTACCCAAACAAGAAGGCTAAACTCTTCTACATATTTTTATAACTGTGCCATATCACAAAACAAATCACTATATCCCCAACAGGTAAGGTGCTCTGTCCTAACATGCCTTCATAATATTCCAGTAAGAAATGCCATTTCTTGCAGCAATTCAACCTTTCAATGCTGGTGGAATGTGTTGTGATTCAATTGTACCTTTATTCAGTCATGCTGCAGGGACAGTGGGCTGCATCCGTTTCATAAGGCTGTCATAAGACAGTGCCAAATATGGGGTGTATAAGGACAGAAATTTATATGTCCTAGTTCCAGAGTGCTTGCTAGAATGATTTCCTTTGAGGCCCACTCTTTGGCATGTAGATTGCCATCTTCTGTCTTGATTTTGGCATCTGTGCTTCTCTGTRTCTTTAGTGCCACTTCCCTAAAAGGTTTCTAATGCTTGTTTGTAAAAGTAAATTTAAAATATTAATGAGCTTTATGAAGGCTGGAGAATTCAAAAGAAGTTAACTCAAGAGGAATGTTTGCTTTCTTTCATTTTATTTTTGGTACCAGGGATTGAACCCGGGGGCACTTAAGCACTCAGCCACAACCCCAGCCCTTTTTAAAATATTTTATTTACAGACAGGGTTGGGTCTCACTAAATTCCATAGGCTGGCTTTGAACTTGGGATCCTTCTGCCTCAGCTTTCGGAACCTCTGGGATTACAGGTTTGTGCTCCTGCACACCCTCTCTCATCTCTCTAGTACCCCTGTGGCTCAGCTAAAGCAGAAGCTAAAGGAAAATCTTCAGGGTAGAGAGAGGCAACAGGGTCCATTCATTATCAGTGAGATTCAGGAGGCACTGAATTTTCAGGCTTCAAATTTGGGTTTTAGCCATTGGTTGGTTGTGTGGCCTTGGGAAAGTGACCTAACCTCTCAGTTTTATCCTCCGTTTAGTCAGTGGATGTATGTTATGGTTTGGATGTGAGGTGTCCCCCCCAAACAAGAAGGTTCAGAGGAGAGATGATTGAGTTGTAAGAGTCTTAACCCAATCAGTGGATTAATCCCCTGATAGGGATTAACTGAGTGGTCACTGAAGTGGTAGTGTGCGGCTGGAGGAGGTGGGAATTGGGGCATGGCTTTGGGTATAAATTTGTATCTAGTGAGTGGAGACCTCTCTGTCTACTTTCTGATTACCATGTGAGCTGCTTCCCTCTGCCACACCTTTCTGCCAARAGGTCCTGCCTCACCTTGAGCCCCAAGGAATGGAGCCGGCCTTCTATGGACTAAGACCTCTGAAAACGTGAGCCCTCAAATAAACTTTTCCTCCTCTACAATTGTGCTGCTTGGGTTTTTTAGTTAACAGCGGTGAAGCAGCTGATTAAAACAATGTGATAGGATAGTAACTATCTCATAAGCTTCTTCACAGTACTCACAACTCCTCCACATATTTTAGGTCTATTTAATTACCTGTTATCCTGTTTCACCCCTCAATAATGAAAGCTTTCTCATAAAAGGGATTTTGTTTGCTGATGGATCTTCTGTGGTTGAAATAGAGCCTGGCATGTAGAAAGTGTTTAATAAATATTCCTTGAATGTATGAACAGGGAGGTTAAGTGAATTAATTGATATCAAATGCCCAGATTTAAATGTTCAGTGCACACTAGTTGTTCTATAGTCACTCCCCAGGCATCCTTCCTAGGTGCCCAGCCTGGAGACTTAGTGTGGTGCTAGCCTGGTGGTGGTGGTGGCCTTACTTTAGGAAGGAATGCCTTGATCATCAGGTACATGCTGCGGACGTTGAGATTCATGGAAAAATCCCAGTCTTTTTCCTCACAGTCCAGGATGGTTCCATGATGAACAAAACTGAAAGAGGGGTTAAATAGTGGTGTCGGTGATGTCATTAAAGGGCTAGGGACAAAGCTCAGCGGTAAAGTGCTTGTCAGTATGCATGGGGCCCCAGTTCAGTCCCTAGCACTGTTCAAAACAATAACAACAACAACAACAACAACAACAACAAACTGCTATTAAAATGTATAATTCATTTGTGAATCACTCTTATTGACTTAGACCATTGTTTGCCTTATCAAGACTTTAAATAATTCAAACATAGTATCACTTAGCACTTTGTTAGTTTAGTAAGGATCCCAACAACTTAAACTAGAACGTTTGTTATCTGAGAACAATATTCTTTTTTTTAACAAGGACAGGGTAGGGACGAAGAGCTTGAGAAGAAGATTTACATTAAACAGGGATGAGAGGTGGGAGGGAAAGGGAGTGAGAAGGGAAATTGCATGGAAATGGAAG